ACTGTCTCGTCCCTCTTAGATGCTTCACAAGTGTTGTCGGCAGCAAAAAGAATGCACAGGAGATATGTATAAACGCATCTAGACCATCTAGATTCGTTCACCAACTTTTTGGCGTAGTTAGCTGACTTCGCCCATTCGCCCAAGTAGCAATGAGCAAATCTGGAATAGTACGCAGCTAGTACGGCACTGTAAATGAAGTTTTTCTCTCTGGGAGATTCAGTCGCGATCAAGTGCCTTTAGCAACCTACAAGCTTTTCATTTTTGATTACGAGGTTTCAAAGTTGCTGTATCACCTCATGCACACAACATAAACAAAGGAATATGAAAAAAGAAAACCACTCGCCGAATAGACAAGTCTGCCTAGAACAAAACTTCGTTAGAAGTTCTTACTCGCTATACTTACAGCAGCTCCCAGTAGGCAACATGATGGAACTGTTTGTATTCTTGTTGAGATTGTATAGACATATTGAAGCAACAGATGGCAGCATCGATTTCTCCAGAAACAAGCAGAAGGCGTGCTCGAAGAAACAACACTATTGCACCCTGCAATATCAGCTTTTAGACATTATAAGAGAGAGAATAAAAATTTTCTATATGTTAGTCAAAGCACCTTAGGGTATTTGGACATAAGCGATGGGATTAGTCGATGGCAGAGAGCAAGATCAGGCTGGCCAGCGCCGAACCTTAATTAAAAATTTCAAACATGAAAGATAATCAATGCTAAATTTGAATGATTGATACACGTTAGATGTCTGTATACAAAACATCCCTTCGAACTTTGTCACGTCTGGTTATTTCTTCGCTTTCCGGGAAAGACTTACATGAAACACGCAATCAAATTCCATGCAAGCAATAGCATCACGCTGAAATTCGCCATCAATGTATTTGTCATTGCAGCGCATCGATGCAATTCCCTCATTCCAATAATCTACAAATAAGAAGTGAACCCTAAGTTTTTCGATAAGGTTTCGCTCTCACCTTGTCGCCTGAGAAACCAACAACTTCAAGTAGCCGCAACACCTTAGATGGAAGTGTTGAAAGCATAAGATTGAATGTTCCTAGACCCATAAGTACACCTGCTTCAAAATGTTCTCTAATCCGATAATCTCGTCCTATCCATAGTGATTCATCCAACATCAAACGTTCACAGTA